CATCAGCAGGAGCTCCTGAAACATCCATATTTCTCCAGAGTTATAAACCATGTATTTGCAGGCAAAATCTTCTTACACAAGTAAGCCTTGTAGTTCACAATGTTTTAATTTTTAAAATATTTTTATTGATTTTACAGAGAGGAGGGGAGAGGGATAGAGAGCCAGAAACATCGATGAGAGAGAAACATTGATCAGCTGCCTCTTGCACAGTCCCCACTGGGGATGTGCCCGCAACCAAGGTACATGCCCTTGACCAGAATCGAACCTGGTACTCTTGAGCCCGCAGGCCAATGCTCTATCCGCTGAGCCAAACCAGTTAGGACAATGCCAGTAAGAAATGGCAGGAAGTTACAAATTTAACTCATTAATCCTCAACTGAACATAAGCATACTCAAAGGAAATAATGTTTGACAATTTATAAAGTAATAAACATCATTTTCTTAATAAGGATAGTTTCACACTCCAGAGTATTTGTCTCCAGTCCCTTCTCTGCTCTCATCTGCACCCTCTTCTCATTTTGTCAACACCCTTAGATTTGGATCAAAGTCTTAGTTCACTTTTGACTCCTCTAGAACTCCCAGCGGCCTGAGCTTCTAGACAAGGAAGGCAGTCTCAATCACAGGATTAAGCACAAGACAGGCTCTCAATAAATGTGATTTGAAACCATGCAAATCACTATGGTGGCAAGCTGCTTGTTCAAGTAGCCCTGCTTTTGAGAATTGGGAAAGAGCCATCTCTGACCGTTTGACAGTGGGTACCCAGAATATAGATATGCACCCTGCACAAGTAAACTATACAGAAGTGACGTTATGGACTCCTTAGTTCTCTAATGGCTCAGTAGAGCAAATAGTTCTGAGGATCCTGTTTTGTACCAGACACTCTAACAGGTGCTGAGGAGCCAAGAAGAATGAGACCCATCCCACCTTAATGGAGCTCATTTTCTATTGGGTTGAGAAAGTACATGAGGGTAGATTACATTTTTTCTAGGAGACACAAATTCCTAATCTGGATGCTGAAAACTGTGCTGCTATTGCAAACTAATCGTTGCTAACATCAGTTAAATTTCTTTGCACTCTAGCTAACTTAATGGTGTTTGGAAAATAATCATTTGGGAGTTTGCTTGTTTGTTTCTGTATCACATCTTTCCTATTGAGTGCCAAAGCAGTTGGAGACTAAGTCTTTCAAAATATTTCACCTTTGGGCCCGATTGGTCTGGTTCAGTGGTTGAGCATTACCCATGAACCAGGAGGTCACAGTTCAATTCCTGGTCAGGTCACATACCCAGGCTGCAGACTCATCCCCAGTGTGGGACATGCAGGAGGTAGCCTATTGGTGATTCTATCTCATCATTAATGTTTCTATCTCTCTCTCCCTCTCCTTTCCTCACTCTCTGAAATCAATTTTATATGGAGACAGATGAGATGGTAAGAATAAATTATTAATCATACAACTATCTTTGCATCATAAATTTAAATTGGTAACTTTATATAATGAGAAGTTGAAACTACGATATATACATGGCATGGGAGGGAAGCTTGGAGCCCCCAATTCACTATTTAACCATTATCTTGTCTTTCCTATTTGCTGGTTTGTTCACTGCCACCTTCCATAATTACTTATTTTAATCCATTTCTCCATATGGATATTAATAAACTTTGGATCTTCCATTGAGCACTTCACCTCAATAGAAGCAAAACAAATTTATTTTCTTCTGTTAGAATTCATGTATTTTTCCATTATTCAAGTCCACTTTTCATGAGTCACATGTGAAACAAGAATGTTTGCAGGATGTATAATTTAGCCTTTGGATCCTGTCCATTTCTCCAGGACCATGCTGATAGACATGTTAATTAGATCATTCTGCAGTTTTGGAGTACAATTAGACCAGGCCTTAACCAAAGGAGGAGGCATGACCTATGGAAACTTGGGGAGTTCAAAAACAGAGGCTCTGGTTGGGAAGGGGGAGCGAAGAAGGGGCAGGAACGCTATAGCCCCACCTCCTTCCTGAGGGTGACAGGGGATTGGCATGCTGATGAGGACACTCAGAGCTAAGGCATAACTTCCAGGGGAAAATGTGTACACTCTGGCCTCTCCACACCCACCCATGTATTCAGTGTTCTGCCCAATGTTTCAGGAGTTTTGCCCCCATCAGTAACATAATGACACCCAGTGCTCCCACAGCCCTGTCCTCCCCATTCCTGCGGGGAAGGAAGGTGGGCTCCAGGCTCAGCTTCCCCAATAAGGGCCTTCTCTATGCCCAATTAAACCCAGATCCTCAGATCCTCTTCCCTACCCACAAATCTGACACCCAAAATCCCACCTAACCACCTCCTGATAACTCCCTGATAACTCCTCTCTCCCATCTCCAGGGCTATGGTCCCAGGTCCTTTTTCCAGATGTTCCCAAGCATCTGACTCCCCAAGAGATCCCCAGGAGAGAGACAACAGGCATCGGGGAGTCAGGTCCTGTGCTAGGCTAGTTCTGGGACCAGAAAATAAAGGAAGCCACGGAGCCCTGGAGGCCAGTTATTTGTGACGCTGAGGACAGGAAAAATACCGGGTAGGGTGCTTGTTGCCTGACCCCTAGCTTCCTTGGCCCCTGGAGGCTGTCACTCCCTTTGGAACTAACCCATGACTCATTTTTGACCCCTCTGATCCACAGTGTGCTCGCTTGGAGAGCACGAGGGTACTTCCTGTTCTCACTTGGAATTGGATCATAGGCTGCATTGGGACATCTCTTGTATTTTCCTTTAGTTGCAAAGTTATGGCTTAACTTTTTCCTATGGGATGTTTGATCTTAGCTTCTTGAACATAAAGAGGGAGCCCCCTGGCACTGGGTGGCAACCTGGGCACGCTGTGAGCAGAACCTTGATTAGGAGGATCAATTGTTCTCATGTCCATGCTTAGGTATGGTAGGAAGCAGGAATGGAGATGATAGAAAGAACTCCTTTGTTCTGAGAGTATGCAAATGAGCAAGGAGAATTGAGTCCTTTTTTAGGGTAATGGAATATAAAACAATATTTTTTTAATATATTTTTATTTTCAGAGAAGGGGAAGGACAGAAACATCAGTGATGAGAACAAATCATTAATCAGTTGCTTCCTGCACCCCCCCCCCCCCCCCCCCCACTGGAGAGAGAACCTACAAACCCAGGCACGTTCCCTGATAGGGAATGAAACCGTGACCTCCTGGCTCATAGGCTGGCCCTCAACCACTGAGCCACATCAATGGGGTTAAAATAATATTTCTTCTTAAATGTTTGGACATTCCTTTAGATATAAATGATCTAATTTTCTAAATCGATCATCTCATTTTACATAGGTAAATGCCCCTCAAGGATAGGGAAGATTGGTGTTACTGTCAGAGGTTTGGACAGAGGTGGCCTTGGAAGGGCAATGGTCTGCATTGGCCAGAAGCTGCATGTGTCACTTTCTGTGTCATGCTAATAAAGAACTTTTAACTACTCAGAATGTCTTCTGTCCTTGTTCTGCAAAAGTGACAAGTTATGTCTTTGTAATCTCCCATACTGTCCCTTGGCCCCAATAAATACTACATTCAGTCATTTATTCATCAAATTTTTACTGAAAACCTATCACTTCACGTGTAAGTACTGGACTAGAAGCTTTGAATACAAAGTCATAAAATGCAGTGACTGCCCTTGAGCAGTGCTCCTTCCAAAGAAGGTGATCAATAGCTACATGATATGGTTGGGTTATAACACAGATGCAATGAAAATAGGAGACTCAGAGAAGGCATCCAGAGGCTGAAAGTAGGATGTGACTTGGGTCTTTGAAGATGAGATATCCATATTGGAGGTGAAGAAGATGGAAAAATATTCAAGGCAGAGGAAATAGTTTATGCCGAGGCAAAGAGGTGTGAAAAAGCCTCATGTATACTGAGAAAGGCAGAGCGGACTATTGGAATGGAGGGTGTGCGTGTGTGTGTGTGTGTGTGTGTGTGTGTGTGTGTGCGTGTTGGCAGATGATGATGAGGCTGGAGAGGTGGTGAATAATCTTGATGCCATGTCTCATTTATATTTTATCCACTAAATAAGGGAAAATCAGTTGAGATTTTTTTAATCATGGAAATAAAATTATTAGGGTTGGCTTTAGTAAAATTGTTTTAGTATAAAGAAAGAATTAGACAGGTGGCATTCCACAAGCCAAGAAACCAGAGTCTTGCCTGGACCCTTGCCTACACTTCGTAAAGGCCTGAATTAAGGCAGACAGTGACAATTTAGAGAAAAATTAGAAATTGACAGATCAGATACCCTATTGAATATGAGGGCCAGGGAGATAGAGAGGAAATGAGAATTTTTAGGCAACTCCTGAATGGTAGAGAGCACTTATTGAGGTAAGAAGTAAAGGGAAATGTTTTTGTTTTTGTCACTTGTTTGCAGCATAACATTACTATGTATTGGTACAAGTGGAAGTTTATTCTCTCACCCTTATTTAAAAAACAAAATACCATTTGCACTGATGTAATTTTTAACATCATTGCACAGTGGAAATCAAATGTTGTTTGTTAATTTCATGCCTGTGGCAAAGTGCCCTAATTAAAGACATCCTGCAGTTATTCAAATCTCTTTCCTCCTCCACATATTTCTTTCTCCCACAAAACATTCCCTCCACTTAAACCCCTCCCAACAGGGAGACACCAATCAGAGTTCAGGCTGGGGCAAGCATGGAGCAGTTCTGGGCTCTGGTGCAAGTATGATTTCTATAAAAAGACATTTAAGAAACAAGGCGAAATGTTGCCATTTTGCCTTTAATGGAAGAGTGGCTAGCAGTTACAGTAAAAAAAAAAAAAAGTTTTATTTAAAAAAACAACTCTTCAAGTTCTAGGCAATCACTGAATTTTCAGAAATACACATACAATTTGCAAACCAATAGTTTGTATAAAAATAAACTCTGACTGTGTGATTAAAAAGGAGACCTCCTCCCCAGTCTTTTCAGCTGCACAAATGCATAATAAAAAGGAGGTAGTCTGTCCGGGAGGTAGTCACCCCAGTGCGGAGGGGGCTTTGACTCTGGGAGACAGAGCCTGCTTAAAGCGCCTCTTCAGGTCTTGCATGTTGGGAGAGCGTGGCCGAGGAATGATGGAGGCCCGTCTCCTCTCTCCGCTGAGGCCGTGCAGCTTGCTCACTTCTTTGCAGAGATGCTGAAACACATCACAGACATCTTCATAGTTTTCACTGGTGGAAATTTCAAGGAACAGGCTGCCCAGCTCGTTGGCTAGCTGAACACCATCATCAGTCTGCACCTGCCGGGCATGCAGAAGGTCCCCCTTGTTGCCGACGATGATGATAGGGGCCTTTGAGTCAGGGTGGACCTTCCGGATGTGCTGGTAAAGGGGGCGGATCGACTGGTAGCTGTCGTAGTCTGTGATGGAATAAACCAGCAGAAAGCCCTCGGCCCACTGCACGCATTTGGACAGGGAGTCAACCACCTGCATGAGGTTGTCTTGGACCTGTGAGGATCAAATGGAGTCTGATCAAGGAGGCTTTCAGTGGGAGAGGACTCAAAATAACATCAAAGTAAACTTTGAGCAATGGTTGAAAAAGAAATCACTGAATACAGTTTTCAGATTCTACCCTGCTTCTGCAGGAGGTTTTTGATGTAGAAAGAGCAAATTCTCAGGCAAGTTCCCTGCCTGGGTTATTTTATGAGCTGTTACCAATGCATTTGTTAAAAAAACAAAACAAACAAACAAAAAAAAAAACCGGCAGGGAGGTAGTCTGGGGTGAACCTAGGCTGACTGAAGAATGACTTCAATGAGAACTTCCAAATCAGAATGTCACCATTTTTAAGGCACTAACTCAGAAAAAGCAAAACTTTGGAAATAAGCCAAGATAAACATCTATTCCCAAAACCCATAAAAATATTTTTAGCATGTCCTTCTTGAGAATGTTCCAGAAACAAATTCTTTCTTTTCGGTTCTTCCACGAGACCTTTCCTCCCTAGAAGGGAGAGCAATTAACTTAATCAAGTTACATTCCTGAGCAGGCGCCAAGAGTGTCAGACTGCAATTAGTGACTTGCGGGCACGGCTAGAAACAGAAGCACTTCCGCAGTCCCTGCTCGGGGAGAAGACCCTCTCCAGAGCCCAGGCCAGACAGTGTTGTTATAGGTTCCCCGGCCAGCCCTGGAAGAGGTGGGAGACCCATGCCAGCGGCCTGGCCCTCACAACTTGTAAAGAGAAGTCCAGAGCCTCTCCCCCTCTCAGAGGTGAAACTATGTGAAATTGATGAGATGTCAGAGGTGGCGCACAGGAGGAGGCAGCCTCCAACACCCAGTCCTTGCCCTCCTGGAAGGTTTCTAACAGCCCCCTGACCGGCCCCTCCTGGGGACAGTCCCCTACTCCCATCCACATAGCTCAGGCTGCCCAGCGCCCTCGGGTCGGGAGGGAAGCCCGCCAGTCCTCACCTGGATTCCCCCGGGGGTGTCCTGGATCTGCAGGGACAGCTGGTCGCCCTCGACACACACTAGCCGTGAGTACAACTTGCCTGGAGAAGGAAGAAGAGTCTGCTTTTAAATCCCTACACTCTCCGCAGGACAAAGAAAATGGAAGCATGCAGCCACAAAAGCAGGGGGGCACATAACTATTCTAACCTGTATTCGGTTCATAATCGCCGATGAATCTCTTGGTTAGGAAGCGCACAATCATTGCTGAAAGTGAAATAGGAAAATCAGGTGAAGGGCTCGGATGGGACCGTCCAACACGACACTCCCGGGAGAGGCGGGAGGAAGGGGAGGCGGACTCTGCAAGCCCCGGGGGAGCCCCGGGGTCTCTGTGCCGCCGGCGGCGGGGACGACTGCCGGTGCTCGACCTGCCGCACCGGCCCTCGTTCTCCAGCGGAGCCCAACCCGGCGACGGCCCACCAAAGGCTGCCGGGGAAGCCAGAGGGAGGGGATGTGCGCGTCCCCCCTGCGCCCGGTCCTCCTCCCCGGCCGTGCGCTCCCGCTCCTCCCCACGCCCCGCTGTTCGGACGGGCCCGGCGGGGCGGGCTCCGCCCGGTGGGCTCCCCCAGGCACTCACCGCTCTTGCCCACGCGGCCGGCGCCCAGCACGGCCAGTTTGATGTCCCTGGGCAGGAGGTAGTCGGAGGACTCGGGGATGGGCGCGAGCAGAAAGTGCCCGGACATGCTGGGCGGCCGCATGGAGCGCGTCCGGCCGCCGGAGCACAAGCCGCGCAGCGAGCCGCGGCCGCAGCGGGGTGGCTGGCGAGCGGGAGCGCGTGGACTCGGAGACCGGGGCCGGGCGGACCGCCGCGCTGTCACCGCCACCGCCCGCGGCTTTTAAAGGACTCCGTGCTCCGGGGCGCAGCGCCGCCTCAGGCTCCTCCCCTGCCCCGCCCTCCCCACGGGGGCGGCGGGCGGGAGCGGGAGGCCGGCGCTGCGGGCTGGCGCACTCCCCGCCGCCTGACGCTCTAGGTTCGGGGACCTGTGCATCCCAGGGCCCCCAGACGCCGAGAGTGCGGGACGGCCTCTCGCCGGCTATGCCTGAGCCCGGTGGCCTCCTCCAGCCCGCAGAGGCCATCCTGAGTCAATAGACGAGGGAGGGAACTTGAGATCAGAGTTAGGAGCTGGAGGAGGAAAGGAAGAGAGAAAACTGTTTTCAGTAGGATGTTTCTGCCAACAGTGGGAGGTAAATTCCTGCCAAACGTTGCTTCTTATTTTCAAAAGGTGATGAGGGGTGACAGTATTAGGGAAAAGGGGATGGGAGAGAGCTCATAGTAGCAGTACAAGGGAACGGTAGTCACTGTGACCAGGCTGCAGATCTGTGAAGGCCCCTGGAGGCATTACTACTTGTTTGCTCCTCAGCTGGCACTAGCGGCATTGACTCATCAACACTCCCATATGCATTCCATGGGCTAGGGGGCTGGAAGCTCTGGCTCAGGACCTATGCACTTGAATCATGCGGGTGCTTCTCTATTCATTCCAGTACTGACTTCCAGGTGTAAAGTGGAGTTTAGGGTGAGGTGGAGAGTGCAAGAGAACACAAAAGAGAAATATGGCCTGGTCATGGGTTTCTGGGCCCACCCTGGCAAGGCAGAGCCTTGGGAGTTTTACCTTATGCTTCTGGCCTCCTGCATTCCAGCCTCTTATGTCCAATTGCCTATTAGACACCCTTCCTTTACTCACTCCTCCCTCTATCCTGGTTGAATTAGCTAGTTTTTGCTGCATTAAAAAACACACACACACAAATACAATTGGCTTAAAACAATGACCCCTCATATTTGCTCACATGTCTAAAGATCAATGGGGTGGTATCCTAGCTGATCTTGGCTGGCTCTCTCATGCCTCTGCAGAGAGCTGACAGGGCTTGAGGAACTGGCATTATCCTGCACCTGGCTGCCAGTCAGCTGTGATAAGGGAGGGACAGTAATTGAGTCACATGTCTCTACTCATCAGGCAGGCTAGCCAGGGCTTATTCTCATGGTGGCTGAGAAAGGTTTCAAGAGAGTGACGAAGTGGAAAAGGCCTCATGAGACCTAGTCTCAGAGATGAACCCATCACCTTTGCTCTTTTGTTGGTTAAAGCAAGTCATAACACCAGCTCAAATTCAAAAGGTAGGGAAAAACACTCCACTCCTCGGTGGAGAGAGCTGCAAAGGCACTGGAATGCAGAGGGGTAGAGAATGGATCCATTTTTTTGCAATTGACCACACTAATGAATGTGCTTCCATCACCCCGTAGCCCATCCTTGACTTTCACTTCCACATCAATTGCCAACTTCCATAATTTCTACTGTCTTCATTTCTTGGTGTCTCCTCCTCTCCACCCCTACTTTCTTCATTTTTCAATTGAAAAATTCTGAATAATCTTGAATAGTTTACTTGTTCCTCCCTTGGGGAAGCTTCCTCTGACCACTGCTACCATCCATAGGCTTATTTCCCAGTTACTCTCAGGGCACACTCAAGTGTCACTACTTTCTGGTGGAATATTTGCTTCATGTTTGTCTCCAGGAGGGCAGGGACTCCATCTTGTGTCTTTAGTACCAAGCACATAGTAGTACCTAGGACTTACTAGCTTATGAATAAATGTTTGTTCACTGATTGACTTTCTGAATGAACAAATGGTGTCTTCACTGTATGAACTGGAAAAGACAGAAATCATGTGTGTAAACATTATCCCAGTACCTTAATTTTGAGAGTAAACTGTTCTCAGGAGCAAGTGTTCCAGGAAATGTACTGAGATGAACTGCCATATTTCAGTTGTACTGACTTTTGGCTGTTCACAGGCAATCCCCTTCTGTTAAAACTTCAGTTTAACTGGAAAGACTTGAAGCAAGGCACCTCCTTCCCTACTGGGGAAAAGGCACCCATAAAGAGAGTTACTATTTACAGAACAGCTTTGAAACTGTTAGCTTCCAGGGGTCTTTGAGCAGTTCAGTGATAGGGGTCTGCTTTGTCTCTCAGATTCTCTTGGCCTTTCCTTCTTGGATACAAAATGGCTCCTATTTCCCCAAACATTAAGTCCTCATTCAAACAGGGAGGGAGGGCCTCTCTTTGTCTTTTCTTAGAGGCCCGATACATGAAAATTCATGCACTGGATGGGGGAGAGGGTCCCTCAGCCTAGCCTGCCCCCTCTCAAAGTCTGAGAGTCCTCAGGGGCTGGAGGTGACCCAGCGATCAGGGGAAGGCAATACCCCCATCACACCTCTGCTGCTGCCACTGCAGGCAGCGCAAGCCCTGGCTGGCCCAAGTTACCTGAGCCTCAGGCAGCTCTAGGTGGGGAGCCACCATCCCCATCCGAGACTTATCTGCACCTCGGGCTGGTCCTGGTTAGCTGCGGGGCTGAGGGCAGGTCTGGCCGCACCGTGCACCTGCCCCCACCCACCCAGTTAAAAGGACTGGGGACTCCAGAAGGGCTGAGAGGACTGGGCATCGCCATCTTTGTGAGGGTGTGATGGTCAGTTTGCATATTCCCTCTTTGATAGGATGATCCTCAGAAGAACCCAGCAGACTTTCTCATATCCCAATGACCAGAACTAAGAAGCTGGAAGTTCATACAAGTACCTAGAAAAAAAAAAAAAAAATACTGGAATTGCTGTGACTAAATTGAACAATCATAGTTCCTCCACAGGTGCTAGACAGTTGTACCTGCTAAAATTCAAGAACAGACAAGGGATCTATGCTGAGCAGCTGTCAATGTGATCTGCCACAAACACTTGACATTCCTGGAGTCTAAATGCAGACCTTTCTAGGGAAAAGCCATTTCTTGGTTGAGTCTTGTGCTTATCTCTTCACTTCATTCCGTTATACATTCCCAGTCCGGAATAAGATCACTCAATAAGGAAGATTCCTAAGACTGTTCTCTGCTCAGGTGATAATTACATTCCATTTTGCAATTACATGGCAACTTTGCTAGGTGAGCTCAAAATGTTATTCCACTTCTCTTGGAAAGCATTTGCAAGTACACAAAATAGTCCATGACATTTTAATGCAGACAATATATTACTGAACTGTGGAATTATAAATAGCCTTGAGCAAATTGTTGCTGCTTGTTTTTCATTTGGATTTGTGTCATTATGTAAAATTGTGTGACTAAACAAAACAGGTATGCTGAAGTGGTTTTAGAAAGATAATAGAAATGTGTAGGCAGATAGGGATAAACAAGTCCAAGGCTATTTACAATTGTGGACAGAATCTGGAATATGCAAACATCACTAGCCTTAGAAAGTTACTTACCCTTTACCAGCTAAATAAGTTTGATTTCTAGACCTCAGTCAAAACTTCGCCAAGAATCTGTCCTCTACTGGTTGAAGAATGTCCCTTCCCCCTAGCCCTGGTTGGGTGGCTCAGTGGCTGGAGCATAATCCCGTACACACAAAAGAAAGGTTGTGGGTTTGATTCCTTCTAGGTTTCAGGTTCCGTCTCCTTTCAGGGTGCTTAAAGGAGGCAAAGATGTTTCTCTTTCTAAAACATATCCTCAAGCGAAGATTAAAAAACCAACAAACAAAAAAACCACTCTCCAACCACCATCCCTAAAATTCAGTATCAATTACTGCTAGAAACAGCAAGGCCAGAGCCTAGGGGTAGTTCCTCCCCCTAGAGGTGGACTCCCACCTGATCCCATTTTCCCCAAATTAACTCTTTTCCAGTCTCTTCATTTGTGTGCGGCCTTCTCCAGAAACTGGGCTCTGAACAGGAATCCTGAACCACATGGAATGCGATAAGGGATCCCACAAATTACCTTTCCTGTATGGCCTAAATCCTTGAATATTGGTTATAGGAGACTCAGAGACTATCTTTTGGTACTTTGCCCAGAATAGGAATTATGCTTCTGTCTTATACCAACTCCCTACCTTATTTAAACTGTCAAAATAATTGAAAATCTACTCTGTAAGGCTCTTAAGTGCTGGCACAAAAGAAAAAGAATAGCTAAGTTTCTATTATAAAACATTTACTAAAAAGACAACAAAGTACATAAGACACTCCTGTCTGCCATCATTCATCCTCATAAAAGTTTATTATAATTCGAAAATTAGTTGGAATTATCAAAAGTCTAAATCTTAGTTCTCCCTAATCTTAATTAACCCTAAGAAATTGACAAAATATCTTCTAAACTGATGTTCAGACGAGATTAATAATTTATCCAGTCAGAGTCATTCAGTAGTAGACAATCCAACCCAATTTCAAATCTTTGTGCAGCATGGAAAGCACTCTGGTCATATAAATGGAATGACAAAACAGGTTGAACTTAATCTGAACCTTCTCTCTCAGGAGCAAAATATGCAATCACATATTCACTTAAGCTAAGCCATTACCTCATTTAGTAGAGACAATAAAGAGGACCCTCTTTCCATTTCTTTTCCAATCCAAATGATTTCCATAAATTCTATTCTTGCTAGGAAAGTGGGTATGAAAGCATTTCCCTACATATTTCCCAGCCTTTTGCATTTGGGGCTTTGTGAGATGGCCTGTCAATTGCTCCTCATTCTACACTTTTGCTGTTTGAAAAGCATTATAATGCAGAAACTTGGTTGGCTGCTTATCTATTCCTTGATACACTTTCCATCTCAACAGGAACAGCAGCAGATGCTGCCTCGTTATTATTCATAACCAAGCAACTTGTCTAACAGATTAGGTGTTTTGCATGAACACCAATTATTTTCCCCTTTAACTGGGGCTGGGTTGAAAAAAATGCTATAAACAT